AATTGGTCCAGTGGTGAGAATCTTTGTCTTCTTGACATTTAGCCTCAATCCATATTGAAGGCTGCAGTCATTGACCCTCAGCAGCAAGCGCTTTAGGTCCTCCTCAGTTTCAGCAAACAGGTTTGTGTCATCTGCATAATGTAGATTGTTGATAGAGCTTCCACAAATCTTGATGCCACATTTCTCCTCATAGAGGCCAGCATCCTGGATGATCTGTTCTGCATACAGATTGAAAAGGTATGGAGACAGGACACATCCCTGGCATACACCCTTTCCAATTTGGAACCATGCATTGTTTCCTTGCTCTGTTCTGATGACTGCTTCTTGGTTCAAGTATAAGTTTTGCATTGGCATGATCAAGTGTTTTGGGATTCCCATTCTTCTCAGAGTCAGCCACAGTTTGTTATGGTCCACACAGTCAAACACCTTTGCATAATCAATGAAGCACAGATAGACATTCCTCTGGTACTCCCTGTGTCGCTACTAGTAATTCAATAAATTAGTTGTAGTGGCTTCTGTTCCCACTATTATGATGCCATTAGAACGTCAAAGACTAATAAGATTGCACAAGATGGACAATTTCAGAAGACCTTCTATACTAAGACAAACTCAGAAGTAGGGCATGGTGATCTACTTCAAAAATTAATATTGAAAATTTTATAAATAATAGATGAACACTGACACAGTGCCAGAATACAAGTACTTCAGGTGTGGAGACACTCAAGGAATGACTGAAGAATAGCTGTGCATTCAAAATAAGGTAAACTTGGTCATATTTGATCAGAGGAAAGTTTTCAACACTTCATTTTCTTCTGTAGCAAAGGTAAAAGTAAGAAGAAAGAGTTGAAAATTACCACTGATACCCAGAAGATAGAGTACACAAATCTGCATCATAAAATTGAAAATCCTCAACAATGAAATGAAACTCATAAAAGTGAAAATTCAAGGTACTAGTGAACTCTCTTAAAGAAGGTGCAACCAGAGTACTCCTTGGAGGTAAAGGTGATGAAACTTCATCTAACATACTTTAGACATATTGCTAGGAGAAGTTATTCCTTGGAAAAGGACATCATGGTTGGAAAGGTGGGGTCTGACTTCTACTCCACAATAGCTAACAACAACAGCAACAAGTGAGCAGAGTTGGACTCACATTGGCCACTTAACATCAGATAATCATATTATTTTTTTTTTCTATTCACAAAGGAAAAGCTCCAGTCCATCTTTTAATTTTTTTTTAAAAAATTCCTGACATTACAGAACTAAACTGAAATGTATTAATATTCCACTCTTACATATCCATGACAAACAGGAAAAAAATTTCATGAGCAAAAAAAAAA